AAAAAAAGAAGAGAAACAATACTTTAAAAAAATGTCATTTTTAATTATTTCAAAATTAAAATTTTTTATAAAAAAATTTATTAAACAACTTTTCAATTTACAAATACTTATATAAAAAATTTTATCAAATACTTTTAACTTTTTAAAAACAACACTTTTACAACATATTCTTTTCAACAAGATTTTTATTAAAGGCTCCAACGGCGCCTTAAGGTTTCGTCTGGGGCTGCTGGGGCTGCATTGGGGTGGTGCACTAGGGTTTCGCGTTGCAATCCCCTAAACGGTGACTAACATTCTCGAAGGTTCTGTGGTGATGATGGGGTTGGTTAGGGGTGGGCACAAAACCCGCAACCGACAACCGACCCGAAAAAATGGTGTTCGGTTCGGGCTTAACGGGCTTCGGGCTCAAATGTTCGGTTTCGGGCTTAGACCGATCTTAAACAGTTCGGTGTTCGGTTGCATATCCAAAAACCGAGCAACCGAATAATAAAACCGAATAAGAAATATATATAAATATATTTTCACTCCCTTCTCTTAAACCTAACCCTAACCCTCTCCCTTTCAATAAAATTTTCTTTCCCTCCTCGCCCAGATCTATCCAAAACGGTCAAAATCTTGTCTTTTGATTTCTACAGTCCCGACCCCAGCCTGCACTCCTTCCCCGCTCCCTTTCCACTACAACCAGATGATGCAGATGATGATGAGGAGGCCTTCCCCATTTCTGGTACCAGCTGAAGAGAGTCGACAAAAGCAGCTTGCTACTGGTGTGGCCACCCGATCATATGCAGATTGCCCCTTCGGTCACTGGAGATAGAGAAGAGTTTGTGTGCTTAGAAATTTTTTTTTTTTTTAATGGAAAAGGCTGGATTAGAATTTAAAATGGAATTTCTTTACTTTTGCATTGTGTTGACAACCTTGAGATTGCAGAAATTGGGATATGCTTGAACGACTTTTGATTCTTTTTTGGATTTGGCACTTGGGAAATGTGATGGCTTCGGGAAATGTGATGGCTTTGGATATTTATTTGGATCAAAAAATTGAAGAAAATGGATCATCAAACATTGTAGGAAATTTGGGCCACAAAAATGGAAGGCCCAAACCCGAGAAAGTCTAAGGCTAGAATTGGTAAAAAAACCGAGACCGATACCAACCGAACCGATTAATTCGGTTACAAAACCAAATAACCGAAATATTGATCGGTTTGATTTTCGGTTGTTACTTTATAAAACAATCAACCGATAAAAACCGTCAATTCAGGTTCGGTTCCAACCGAACCGAACCGATGCCCACCCCTAGGGTTGGTAGCATGGACCCGCAATAGGAAGAGACTAGTTCTCCTTTCGAAAGAATTCTTTTGATTTGATAGAAGAGAAAGAAGACCAGACAACCTTGCAGACAATTAGGATCTGTCTCGTGAGATGAGCCCTCCAGGTATCATCTCCGTGGATTATGA